CTTCACACCTAGAAGCTGGCGGCAGGCTAAAGTGGTATTCCTAAACCGGGCAGAGATAGATATACTGGCCCGAAGGATTTTCGACCGATTACTCTTTCATCTTTTGTGCTTAAGACACTGGAAAGGATAGTTGTTAGATACTTAAGGGATGGCCCGCTGGAAAGGCGTGTCATTCATGCAAATCAGTTTGCATGCCAAGCTGGAAAATCGACTGATCTGGCCTTACACAATCTGGTCGGTAGGCTGGAGAAGACTCTAGATCAGCGAGAAGTGGCACTCGTGGCCTTCTTGGACATTGAAGGTGCATTTAATTGCACCACAGTCGACTCTATCAGACAGGCCTTGGTTAGACACGGGGTTGGATCAATCCTAATAGATTGGGTCCTCTCTACTCTGGAGGGTCGGGTAACAACAGCTATGCTGAATAACGTAATCTGCAGCGTGAATGTAGCTAGAGGCTGCCCTCAGGGCGGAGTTCTGTCACCCCTACTGTGGTGTATCGTGGTGAACGAACTTCTCGTTAGGCTCAGCAGTATGGGTGTCTATGCGCAAGCCTATGCTGATGACGTAAGCATAGTAGTTCTGGGGCGTTTCTGTAGAAGAGTCTCGGAAATTATGCAGGGCGTTCTGCGCTCCATGGAATCGTGGTATAGGGAAGTCGATCTTTCTGTTAATGCTGAAAAGACCGAGCTGATCCTATTCACTAGGAGAAGAAGGCTTGACGGACTGGTCATGCCGACCTTCTTTGGGACTAGATTAGTTTTGTCCCAGTCAGTGAAATATCTGGGAATTATCCTGGATTGCAAACTGAACTGGAGAGAGCATGTGGAATACAAGGTTAGCAAGGCTCGCAATTCGATGTGGGCTTGTAGACGTGTTGTCGGGGTAAGGTGGGGGCTTAAACCCAAAGTGGTATACTGGCTCTACACGACGATAGTACGTCCATCTCTTTTGTACGGCTCCCTGGTCTGGTGGCCTTGCATTAGAACTGAGTCAACTAAGGCCAAACTCAATAAAATTCAGCATTTGGCCTGTATTAGCATTACAAGCGCAGTGCGAACAACGCCATTGAGTGCAATGGAAGCTCTGTTGGATCTCTCACCGTTGGATCTGGTGATCCGCGGTGAAGCGAGAGTAGTCGCTCATCGACTGTGGAGTCCGGGCAGCTGGGCTTTCTTGAATCCTGTCAAGGGGCATTCTGCGAATTAGAAAGGGAGGACCCCGTCCTTCTAAGCAGGGGTGATCGTATTACCCCTAAATATCGCTTCAACCGCAAGTTTATTGTGGAGTATCCAACGAGGGAGGAGTGGGACGCCGGTAGCCGGCGACTCTCCGAAGTGAGCGGGCAGGTCTGGTACACGGACGGCTCGGTCACCGAAGAGGGCTCAGGTGCTGGGGTCTCTGGGCGTAGAATTAGGCTATCTCTGCCTCTCGGTGGATTCACCACCATTTTCCAGGCGGAAATCTTTGCGATTCTGGCTTGTGTATCTCACATTCTGGAGGAGGGTGGGGTGGGCCTAGGAGAAGAATAACAATCTTATCCGACAGCCAGGCTGCAATGAAAGCACTAAGTGCCTGTAAGATTACGTCGAGTCTTGTATTGCAATGCAGGGAGGCTCAGGATTGCCTCGCAGCGAGGCATCCGGTATCGTTAATATGGGTACCGGGGCACGCTGGGATAAGGGGCAATGAGACGGCGGACACTCTGGCGAAAACAGGATCAGCCAGCAAGCTCGTTGGTCCTGAGCCAGCTCTAGGAGTAACCGCGCATAAAGCTAGGAGGAAAATGGAGACGTGGGTTGCAAGACAACACTCTCAGAAATGGAGAAGTATCTCTAGACATCTCCGCCAGGCACGAGAGCTCATTGAAGGGCCCAGTGCTAAGGATGGACGCTTCTGCCTATCTCTGGGTAGAGCCAACCTAAGGTTGCTGGTGGGACTGTTGTCTGGCCATAACACGTTAAGGCGTCACCTGCACGTGGTGGGGGTGCCTGAGGATCCCTTGTGCGAACGCTGCGGAGTAGAGGAAGAGACCTCGGTGCACGTTTTGTGTCGCTGTGAAGCTCTGAGCTACTATAGGCAGACTATACTGGGGTCCATTAGTTTGGATCCTCAGGACGTCAAGGAGCTTGGACTCAAGGCGATTCTCAACTTCGATAAAAGGGCGAGGCTTGTGATTTAAGTATTGTAGAGGTGCATAAGGGCCCGCTTAAGCGGCCTATGCACTGGCTCCTTATGGTGGCCGGGATGCCTCTAATTTTAAGATTCATTCATTCATTCATTCATTCGATACAGCAGGAAACCTACTCAGAACGATAGTATTACATGAAAAAATAACTTCTAGCACTATGCCGTCACTTGAGAGCGGTACATGTATGTACAGGGGAAAATTGAATTTTCTGTCCAGAAGGGGTCGGAAAAGACTAAATGATTTTTTACGGCTTTCTTTAGTATCACAGATGCCAACAAAAAAATCACGATGCACTTAGTGCCGTACGGAAATAATGGTGCCGGAAGCCATAAAAAAATTTAATTTTCAGGAAATTTTCTATGCGGAAAAATTAATTAATTAACGTACGGAATTGTTACATTTACCTTTATGTAATTTTTTACATTTAAAATTTTGTTGGCATCTGTGATACTAAAGAAAGCTGTAAAAAATCACGAGATGCGCAATCTGCGATATTATTTTAAATGGTTTTCATTTGTACGGTAAGAAATTAATCCAATATAAAACGATTGTAGAATCTGTAAATGCGAAAATATGTTTGAATGAAATTTTATTGCTATGTGTCAATAACAAAGCGCAATAGTTGAGACAACAAAAGTGCTCCTAGTAGTTCACATATAGAAACTTGCTTCAAGGACTTCACCTTAGATTTAGCGCATAACAGAGAAGTCTGCATAGTTGACTGCGTAACAATTCTGATAAAAGTTACGGCTAAATGCGCGTTTGAGCTGGCATCTGAAAAACCACCTAAATCTATGTACTTATACTGTTTAGGTAAAACTAAGCGGGGTATAGATATATCTGATAAACAGGGCAATTGATGTTTGTACTCTTGCCAAGTTTCCAATATTTCTTGGTTAGGAGTATCATCAATCTAATTGCTAACCATAAATTGCGTATAAGTAATTGAGCGATCAAGGTTACAGGTGTTAACCTAGTGGATCATTATGCGAGCGATTTCATCGAGTAAACTTCTTTTCGTGCACAGTACGTTCCGCGGATTGACAGAGTAAAAAAATATATCAGCGGAGGGATTCCATTTTAATCCTAATATCTTGAGACTAGCGTTTGCTTCAGTGTCAAAAGAAAAAGCGCAATTTGATGCTTGGCAGTCAAGTGGTAAATTATTTAAAAATTCTTCGCTGTTGCTAGCCCATTTATGCAGCTTGAAACATCCTTTTGAAAGACAATCAATTAAATCTTGTTGTAGAGCTAAAGCTGCATCTAAATCAGCACATCCCGTGCAAATATCATCGACAAATATATCGTTCAGTAAAACTTTAGAAGCCAATGGATGATTGTTCTCTTCATGTTTTACTAAGTGCTGGAGAGTTTTAAAAGCTAAACAAGGCGAGCAACTAATACCAAAACTGACAGTATTCATAACATACTCCTCAAGTTGAGAGTCTGGAGAAAATCTCCATAAGATTTTTTGAAAGCGTCTTTGCGACGGGTTAATTAAAATTTGCAAATACATCGACTTAATGTCAGCGGTTATAGCGATTTGCGGCATTTGAAAATTCAGAAGAATGTGACTAGTATCCTTCCAGATCGTACAATTTTTTATCAGCTAAAAGGCGTTTTTCTAAAGAGAAAAATCTTCGTTGAGCTATTTGCTTGCTGTCATGATAGGTTCCTCGTCTTTACGAAACAGTAATGGTACAACATATCTCCCTGATGTTTACCGAAAAGTTGTTTATTCATAAATTTCATCGCATTTTAATTCGTCATCAGACAAATATGAGCGACTCTATTTCCCAGAAACGTTGTAAAGAGTCATTAAGCGAGTCCAGAGTAAAAAAAGAGTTTTTTCTCACACATTCCTGAGAATCGAATTGTCCCATGAAAATATATTCAAAAGATGTATTGATTGCTTGGGGTAAATTACTCTGAGAGAAATCAATGTGTCCATCAATAAGAATGCGTTGGATCAAATCTCTATTCAAAATTGAGAAATGAAGAATTCCGGGTCACCCCATTCTAAGTCCTTGATATGAGACCATTCTCTCACATCAATCGTAGTTGAAGGCATATTACCACAAATTTTATCCAGATTTAAAGTAGGCTGCGATTTATTTAGAGGGGTAACAGTAACCGAAATTTGGCCTAAATTATTTTACATTTCCGTACCTCCTAACCCGTAAATAGTAACACCACTCTTTTTTATCGGTAAAGCTAGTTTTTCTGCGAATTTTTTAGAAACATAACAACACTCACTACCTGTATCTATGAGTGCTCTACCGGTTTGCTTATTTCCCAAAACATCGAAAATATTAACCTTCAGCGTAGACAATAGTACTTTAGTTTAGTAGAATGAGCGAAATAATTAAGGATTAAACGACTTACCTGTAAGGAAGTTCAATCCCAATTATACGAGGTTGGACACGTCCTCCTAGATCACCCTGTAGTAGTACCTCTTACTGCTGTGTGGCGCAAGTTTAAAGATGATTCACCGCCCGCCCGACCCAGCTCCCGCCTTCCGTGAGCCTCGTCATTATACTTCGGCGTAGAGACAAGTTCAGGATCGCCTTCTGGGTTGGGGTAGTCTCAAGGCAAGACATTCTTAAAAAGGGAGGGCGTGATCTAGGAGGACGTGTCCAACCTCGTATAATTGGGATTGAACTTCCTTACAGGTAAGTCGTTTAATCCTTAATTATACTTGTGTTGGACACGTCCTCCTAGATCACCCTGTAGATGTTCAAAGATATTGGAAGGCGATCGGAGATATTGAAACATAACCAACCACAATTTGCTACTAGAATTTATTCGAGCAATTTTGACAGAAAATAGTAAGTATAACTTATTCTAATTAATTTGTTTATTAGACTTAGAATGTAACATCATAATTCGAACATTTAATTACGAATTAAGGTATATGATATATAAACAGAATGAAATCGCTAAAACTGTAAATAGGAAAATAGATACTTAATTCTAATTCGTGGATTAAAGCACATTACGCATTACGATTTTGTTAATGTTTCTATGTAACACGCAAATGGTGTTTCCTTGGCAGATACCGGTCTATTGTAGAACCTAGCAAAAGAGCTTGACTTTTCAGTCCAACCAGCTGAATTCCTTATAATTTCAATATTCAATCCAGTTTTAAAAGCGGCCGAGGAAGATGCGTGGCGAGTACTATGACCTTTAAATTTATTTATGTCTACTCCATTTTTTCCCAATCCATATTTTATCCAACGACTTATTGTCTGTGTAGTCGCAGGATGTTGGGGTTTCTTTACAGTTAATATAAGGGAGTTTTCACTCTTTCGGAATAGTTTTGTTCGTTTTATATAATGAAGAATTGTAGTCGCTATGCAAAGTTCTGGTTTCTCCTTAAAAAAGGGAAATATCAATACCGGTTGTGGCCTCTTGGGTGCTGACGTTTTTAATATATCTGTAATCATGATTTTAAGTCCGTCTTCTGAGGAAAGTATGTTGCTCAACTTTATTTTTGCTAGTGTTTGGACCCTTTGAGCTGTTCCAAGGGCAAGTAATAAGACTAGCTTAACTGACAGGTTTGTTAGGTCCAGAGATTCTAAAGGATGTAATTTCTCAAGCATTTCCAATACCGGATAAGGATCCCAGATCTCTTCATACCTTGGAAAAGATGGCCTTGCCTTGAAAACTCCTTTTATAAATCGCTCCACCTCTACAGATTTTCCAGCTTCAGATAGCAAATTTAGAGCAGATTTATGTGTATTAATTGTTGTGATTGTTGCTCCCTTTTCAAACTCCTGGGTTAAAAAATTGAGAATGTTATGTGCGTCTGCCTGAAATATTATATTAGTATTGCCGGTACAAAATGACCACCATTTTGAAAATGTGCTATTGTACTGTTTTAGTGTGTTTTGGCTAAAGGATCCAACAATAATTTCTATTGAAGTCTCCGATATGTTTTTCCTGGAGTAGATTTGCCGGATAAAATTGCTGCACCCAGGGTAAGGTTCCTCCATAGGGGGTGTGGTTTCCTGAAAGGGGATAGGAGCAAGTTGTATTGTGGATGGAAGATAATTGTTTCGGATATGATCATATTTTCCAAGCTTGGAAACCAAGCTTGTGACTTCCAAATCGGGAAAACCATTATGCATTCTGCTTCCTCGGATTTAATTTTTTGAAGAACTTTTGGGATAAGAGAAAAGGGTGGAAATATATAGGCCCTGATATTTTCCCATGACAAGGTAAAAGCATCTACCATGAAGCTTGCTGGATCTGGGTACCAAGACACGAAGTTTTTGCATTTAGTATTTAGATAACTGGCAAAAAGATCAACTTCTGGTACTCCTAGATGTTTTGTTATAGTTATATAAGCTTCGGGATGTAAAGAGTATTCTGTTTCGATAGATTTAGATCTAGAAGCCGAGTCTGCTAAGAAATTATCTTTGGAATTTATATGAGATGCAAACAGGAGTATTTTTCGTTTTTCACACCGTCTCCGTATTTCCCGGGATATTTTGTTTAAATTTTTATATTTGACTCCACCCATTCTATTGATGTAAGAAACGGCAGTTATATTATCAATTCTTAAGAGTATTCTACATCGCGTTAAATGTCTGGCAAACTTTTGAGACCAAGAAACGCTGCTTTAAGTTCTAAGTAATTAATGTGCTTGACAACTTCGTCTTTATCCCAGAACCCTCTTGCTTGTTTTTTATTACATACTGCTCCTCAGCCTGTGGAAGAAGCATCTGTGAACAAAGTCAATTTATAACTGGGAACTTTTAAGTTGAAATAACAAGTTTCTATATTTTCTAGCCACCAAATAAGATCGTTTTCAAGATGGTGGGGGATGTGCATGAGTCTCTCAAAATTTCCGTTATGATTTCTCAAGGCAAGATATTTTGCTCTCTCAAATTGTTTGGTATAGAGCCAGCCATAATGTGTCCCAGGACAAATTGATATTAAATTACCAATAAATCTGCACCAGATTCTAATTTTTATTTCCTTTTGAGACAAAATTGTCTTCGTCATCTTTTTGATTTTATAGACTTTTTCTTTCGTAGGGTGCATTGTCATGGCATTTGTGTTAAACACGAACCCCAAAAATGTTAATTCTTGAGTTGGTTTCAAAAAACTCTTTTCTCTGTTTATGACAAAACCTAACTTTTCTAGCACAACGCATGTTTCACTAATGTTTTTTGAGCAATCTTCTTCATTTTCACTTATGAGCAAAGCATCATCTAAGTAAAAAATAGAGGTGTGCCCTCTTTCCCTCAGATACTGGGTTACTGGTCTTAAAATTTTTGTAAAGACATAAGGCGCTGTAGATAGTCCAAAAGGAAGACATTGAAATTCAAAAATCTTCTGTTCAAATTCGAATCTTAAAAACTTTTTATATTTCTGAGAGATTGGAACCGAAAAATAGGCATCCTTCAAGTCAATAGAGGCTAGAAAACAATTCTCGCTTATTAAATTTTTTACTGTTCTAGTGTCCTCTAATTTAAAATGTGGTGGAGATAAATATGTATTTAGGTTTTTGAGATTTAAAATAAATCTGTAACTGCCGTTTGATTTCTCTCTCAAGAAATAGGACGATAAAAATTGTCCCTTGCATTTTTCGACAAGCTTTACAGCACCATTCGATAAAAGATTATTTATGCAGTCCGAATACAGTTTTTCCATATTCTTGGGGATACTTCGTGTTTTTGGAGGAACATGTTGGTGAGGCAATTCATTAAACGGAATTTTATACCGCTTGATCCAGCTCAGGATGAGACTGTTGTTGGTTATTTCCTCCCATTCTTTATAAAAAAAAACGTAATCTTCCTGCAAAATTAATATAATTCTTTACCTCTAACGGCGCCCGTTCCATTCGTGTTGTTTCTTGATGTCTTTTCCCTTTTTGTAGCGATCTTCTTTGTTCCAAGTGTTTGTCTTGAATGTTGGTTTGTTGTAGCTGTAACTGGGCCTCTTCTTGTTGTCTGTTGGCCGCCACCGGTTCCTCGAGGCATGTCCCTTCAAGTTTTTTGAGCTCGTTGCCGTTGTAGACCTCAGTTCCTTTGCTAATGACTCCAGGTTTTTAGCAGATTTGCATTTTTCTGCAAAATCGTCACCAAATAGCATTGAATCTCTGGTTTGACCCATGGCCACTAATTGCATTTTCTTATTGAAATGTTGGTGCACCATATATTTTCGATGTGTGCTCATTAAGTGATGAATGGAGCACAACATTTTCCCTGCATCGACTAATCCGACTAGAGTGGGATCTGGATCTGTGTTGGACTCAACGTTTTGAAGCATGTTAGTCATCACGTTACCAAGGGCAGTTATTGATTTTTCCAATTGGTTTTGTAATGACATAAGGAATTTATCCCTCTTAACGTCTGTTGGAGGAATCATAGCTTCCACTTCTGGGTTATTCTTAGGGGCTTCTAGAAGTGAGCAGTTACTAGGAAAAAGGACGGAATCAAAGGTCTTAGTGATCGTTTCTTTATCTAAGCCTTGCACGATGTAGCTAGACCATCTGTTCGCTAAATCTGGTGCTAATTCTGGTCCAAACGAACTTTTATTGTTTGGATTTTCCCCCAAAATAGTGGATAATTCACTTTTTGCTTCGGTGGTCCGTTCGGGTTGGCTGTCGTCATTACAAATATCTGAATCAGAATCATTGCTTATATCCGAGCTCGTGGTGGTGGACTCGGAGTCTGAACCTGTTGAAAGAAAAAACCCCATGTTTTAGCCGAGGTTTATGAAAGCAATTGATAGAAATAAATGGTAAGGCTACGGAAAAAACCATAAAACAGGTAATAGCCGGAAGTCATGATAGGAGATTACATCCACCCCCCTTCCTTTTTGCAGTAGTCCAAAAACCTTGCAATACTATCAAGTGTCATAAAATATGCTAAAAATTATAATACTCCATAATGCAACCAAGCTTATGTTGATCTATAAAAATACATGTGATTAAGACTGGATCGTAACACGAGCCGTCACTGATTACATCGTAAAGAATATTATATGATCCATGAATTTATTTGGTGAATAACACCGAGGCTAGTTTTATTTAACCCTCCATGTTTAGGTAGTAACAAAAAAGATAACCGATCCTAATCATCTGTGCATGAATCACTGTCGACGGCCCAGGTAGAAAAACTTGTTTCCGATAACAGCGGTTGAGATAAACATCGTCCTTGACAGCGTATATTTTGTCGATATTTTAGCATTTTAGAGAGTTATTCGTAAGTACCGTGCGTTTGGCGCGTATAAGTCAGAAACTATACCGGGTTAAATGTGCCTACAAAGTAGAGCAACCCGTGCCAAAAAAAATGTACTAATCAAATGATAGTCAATGTCTCTATGCTATAATCAGCGGTGAAATTCTAAAATGAAAGTGGAATTGAAAATCATGAGAATTTTATTTACTTACTTGAATCGTATTTTTTAAGTTTTTCCTCCATTTTTCGCATTTTCCGTTTCAAACGGCATATGGCTTCGAGTTTCCGCTTATTAGCTCCTCTGTTTTTTGGCATTTCCGAACACTAGACACACAAATGTACACGTAGCACTTGGCTCACTCAGCGCAAGAAGTATAATGACGAGGCTCACGGAAGGCGGGAGCTGGGTCGGGCGGGCGGTGAATCATCTTTAAACTTGCGCCACACAGCAGTAAGAGGTACTACTACAGGGTGATCTAGGAGGACGTGTCCAACAGAAGTATAATTTGTAGTTAGCTGGGACACATCTGCGGACTCAGGGCGAGTGGCCAGCGTACACTGGGTATTTGAAATATTATTTTCCAAAGATTGTGCGTTTTCAACTACAGGCGATGAAGAATTATTAGAGGGTTGCAAAGTATTTGTGTATTGAATAACGAGTGATGCTTGGCGTTACATATGCGACATGTATGCACTGACATACACCTACTGTTAGAATGACAATTACTCAAACAGTTTGTGCACAGCCTATGGCGTTTGACTATAGAAAGTCTCTCTCCTGAGGCGATTTCTTAAGATAGAGCCGTTTTACACACAAGACAATTACTCCGAAAATTATGGTCATAATTATGCCGAAAATTTTTGCTGTCGTATTACACGTAAAAGAATTTTTGTGAAAATTTTCATGGTAAAAATATAAAACCCGTTCTATAGAATATGCGCGAGAATCGGCGCAGAGGGTTATTTCCGTCCATGTCAATATCAAATGTCAACGTCAACAACATAACCTCACTTAACATTTGTGGGTGTGGTTCTGTTCGAGTCGTACGAAGGAGCGTTTATTGTTATTGTTTATTCATAATGTCGTGGAATCGGGAAGAAGCAAAGAAGTTACACTGTTGTTGGAGCAGTACCAAAAATGGCCAAACCTGTACAAGGTGAAGTCACCCAATTACAAAAACAGAAATTTGCGGCGTCAGGCGCTGGATGCGATAGTCCAAGCATTGAGAAGTTTTATAATATTAACCAAGATCTCGATTTCAAAAATAAATTTAAATCAACGACGTCTGTTGTCTTTCCGATTATATTGGACGTCATACCCGTTAAGGTTATGTCCATTCGAAAATATTACTATAATGCGCAGCCGCATCATATGAATTACTTGGAAATTTTGTTTGCTTGTGTCATACAGGTTGTAGAGAAAATCTTCAATATTTTTTCCATGCAAATTTTCGGCATAGTTATGACCATAATTTTCGAAGTAATTCTCTTGTGTGTAAAACGGCTCTAAGACCGGACATTTATAGATTAAATGATCAGAATTTTTGCATAAGAAGCAAAAGCGGGTTGGCACAGGAGACGAATCTGTGCGGGTTAATAGTGATGAGATAGTACGGCGGCTTAGATGATTATTATATTGCGCCTCGCCTTCATAAATAAGGATAAGTGTAGTAGCTCTGCTTGCAGTCAAATCTCACACAGTTCAAAGCAAATTTTCTCACCCTGGATACAGTCCTGTCCTTCCGCCACTCCGTCGAACCCTCATATACTTTGTTTGTGTGTCGAATCTAGCAGTTCGTTTCTGGTTAGTGCGTACCTTAGTGCCGGGATTTTTTCAAATTGTGGGTGTCATGCCCAAAAAATCAATTAAGCGAAGGCACCGCAGCCTTTCACGCGAATCTTGCGCGGAAAATGCAAGAAATATGGGTGATGTAATGAATTATCTTCAAGACATTACTAAGAGATTGCGGAAAATTGAAGATCGCCGCAGCCGAAGCCCAGTACGGAAACGACATCGGAGAGTAGTGTCGTCTTTGTCTTCATCGTCTCAGTCGTCGGAGTCCTCTCTGTCATCTAGATCAAGGACTCCCCCTGGTTCGAGTATAATGGATCGGTCCGGGGGCCACACTTCAAATTGCACGGTTTCACCGATTTGTTTACCTTCGGCTGGTGAGAAGCAGGTATCGATGAGGGTACCTACTTATTTCGTCTGGTACCAATGAGTGTACCCAATTATGTCGCCTGGTACCAATGAGTGTATACTTTATCTGAAGTCACTTGAAACACTGTGAAATACCGGGTGCGTTTTATATATCTATACTTAACACGCTCTGTTGCTGCAAAAATCGCCAAATTTCGCAGCAAGTATAAGATCAAAGGCAGTTTCACCGGTCCACGTGGAGTAAAGCACGCCTATGCGTGGACATAGCCAATGAGAAAGCGTGTATTTCAGAGCTCTGCACAAGTGCAGGTGGCTACTGAAAATTGAAACAGTTTAGCCAGTGCCGTGTAGCGGTGAATAAACGTGTTTTCTTTAGTCTGTCCGTGTTTTTTCATAGATTTTATTAGTTTGTGTGTTTTTGACTTTTGAATACTCAGTTTACTTGTTGATTTAATTGTTGTGTTGATTGTTCTTGTGTGTCCTAAATATGGCTCTTTGGAGACCTTGGGAAAATGCTCCAAGCCACGAGGAGATGGTTGATGAACCTGTGCAGGCAGAATTCTTTCATAAAGATTTAGAGGAACAGACCCAAAGAGTAATATTAAATATGTATGATTGTCTGAAAAACGAAAATCCAGATTCCTCGCAAAATCAAATTTTAAACAGAATTTGTATCCTGACAAAAATCAGTCGGTCTACCATTTATCGGGTTATAAAAAGGGGAGATGTAGTCAACCATTCCTTCCACAGAAAGCGCATAGGGCAAAAATTAAAAAGAATAAACGTGGGTTTTCAGGAAGATATTCGTCGTATAATATACGGATTTTATAAAGAAAATTTGGTGCCCACGTTGGAAATGATACGGGATAAATTAAAAGATTATCCTGAAGATTTTTATAATTACAAATGCTTAGACTCACTGCACTGTATTGTAAAACTGTGTGGTTTTCAATACAAAAAATTAGATAAAAGAATGGTGATTATGGAGTCGTCTCGAATCGTTGAATTGCGCCAAGAATTTTTGCACAAAGTTAAAATCTATAGAGAGCAGAAAAGAAATCTGATTTACCTGGATGAAACGTAGTATGATACCCATGATGTTGTGCAGTACGGCTGGGTTGACGACAGCAACAAGTGCATTTTAAATGCATCATGCAACCGTGGAAAACGAATCATTATTCTCCATGCTGGCAGTGAAAATGGATTTATACCTAATGCCTTGCTGTTATCTGCCGAAAATATCAAAGAATCATGTGCCGACTATCATGAGGACATGACCTCCGACTTATTTGAAAAGTGGATAGAGCAGCAGTTAATACCTAACATTCCCGACAGAAAAACAAAATTCCGAATACAGGCACCAAAAAACAAGGCATTATTGATTTTATGAAGGATAAGGGAATGGAAATACCACAAAAATCAACCAAAGCCATGTTATTGGATCTTATTAAAAGACAAAAATTTGAAAAAGAGTATGTTGTTGACAATCTGCTTCAGCAAAATGGCCATGAAGTATTATGTCTACCTCCCTATTACTGCATTTTTAACCCGATTGAGTTGGTCTGGGCTGCTTTCAAAAAAAAGTAAGAAAACATAATCAGACCCCTCAATTAAGTGAATCGCTATTGGCCACAATAAGAGATGCAGTATCTCATATTGTTGCCACAGACCTATGGAAGCAGTGTTCTAGGCATATTATTGAAAAAGAAAATGAATATTGTGTTTTGCCTCCTGTAAATCCCGTTGTAATTCCTCTACAAGATGACTCTAGCGACAGCTCCGAAGGCGAGGATGATATATAAATACCTATAATGTAAGTCTTTATATACCTTTTTATATACCTACCTGCTATGTAAATATTTGCCTATGTCAAACGTTGGAATTCTGTAATTTTTCCATTTCTTAACTTTCAGTCAACATAAATTAAACTCCCAATATAAGTATTTTTTATCCCAAATCAAAAAAATAAGAAGATAGTAAAGTCCATTTATTGTGATATAAAAACATTATTATTGTCGTTCTAAATAAATCACCGCAAGCCTATGATAGGTCATGAAATTACAAAGGACGCGCCGACCAAAGGTTTTTATGCTATTTCAAGTGACTTCAGATATACCATACTTACGTATTTTGCCGGGTATCGATGAGAGTACCTTTTTTGTTTTTGGCTGGATGATAAGGTATCAATGAGCATACCTTCCGTTTATCCCGCTCTTCACAGTTTCTGGTCAAGTTGGGACAACGTGTCGCATTAGTGTTGATGACACACTAACACATCCAGGTGAGTAACATTCGAACCTTTTTTTTTCGTACTTCAGGGTATCAAGGAAGTATACCCATTTTCTAAGCCGGTATCGATAAGGGTACCTATTTATTTCTTCTGGTACCAATGAGTGTACCCAATTATGTCGCCTGGTACCAATGAGTGTACTTACGTATTTTGCCGGGTATCGATGAGAGTACCTTTTTTGTTTTTGGCTGGATGATAAGGTATCAATGAGCATACCTTCCGTTTATCCCGCTCTTCACAGTTTCTGGTCAAGTTGGGACAACGTGTCACATTAGTGTTGATGATACACTAACACATCCAGGTGGAATAAAAATGTTGTTTCTTCCAGGTGTCGAGCTCTCAGAAGACGTTGTCGAAATCCTGGGCACACCTGATAACAACACATTCATTTATTGTCCGAATTTACACAAAGATGTAGTTTCCCGTTGGCAAAAAGGTGTGGCCGCGGGGTTGTCTGAAGAGGACAAAAAGGAACTCTGCAACAAGTATCCTCCCCCCGAAAATTTTCAATACATGGCGGCCCCAAAACTTAACCCGATGGTTGTCAAGGCGATATCACCCTCAAAGGGACACTCGGTTGATGGCTCTACAGGGTCAAACAGCCGCATGTTTAGCCGCTACGGGCCAACTCTATAGCTTAATGTTGGCTGAAGAGAGGGGGCAACCGAAAATACATCAAACTGCTCAACGATGCAAGCAGATTAATGCTAGACTTTTTTTTTCATCAACAAACGGTGACTCGCAGAGGATTAATTTCGATTAATTTAAACCAGGATTTCCAAAAGGCCAACGAAGATATACCATCGGACTTGGAGGAGCGTCTCAAGGCTTCCCACAGCTTGGAGGTGTCCGGGAAGACCATAAAACCAAAGCCGGCAAAATCGGTTCGTAAGAATCGCAGTTGGCAATGAATCCAACCTCTGAGGTGCGTATCGCTGGTAGGCCTAAACATTTCTACCCCAATTGGCTTAGGGTTTGTCAGGATAAATTAGTCCTTAATTGGTTTAAAAGTTTAAAGTTACCATTTAGACATTATCCTAAACAACAAAATTTTGCAGTTACTTCATGGTCACTTCAGGATCAAGCTTCTATCCAAGTTTGCATAGTTAAATTACTACTAACAGGAGCCATTACCATCGCTTCGGCGAGTGATAAGCAGTACATTTCTAAAATTTTTCTCAGGCCAAAAAACGATGGCTCTAATCGTCTCATTCTGAATCTGAAAAATGTCAACAGACATATACATTGCAGCCATTTTAAGATGGAAAATAGTCGCACCGTAAAGAATTTAGTCCGCAGGAACTGTTTCATGTGTAAGGTGGACTTAAAAGATGCGTATTTTCTAATATCAGTGCACAAAAAATAAAGGAAATGCTTAAGATTCGAATTTTGTGGGCAGCTATATGAATTTAGGTGTATGCCCTTTGGGCTAAACATAGCACCTTACATTTTTACAAATTTAATGAAACCCGTTATTACTTTTCTTAGAGCAAAAGGGTTTTTATCCGTTATTTACTTGGATGATATTCTTTTGTTTGGTAACACTCATGAAGAGTGTCTCTCTAATCTTAAGGAGACCCTAAACCTCTTACTTTTATTAGGGTTCCTGCCAAACTACGAGAAATCCATTTTAGCCCCATCCCAGTCAATTCAATATATTGGATTCATTTATAATTCAATAGATATGTCTATTCGTATTCCTTATGAAAAAGTTTTAAAATCCAGACAGCTAGTGCAAAAAATGTCATCAGTGGAAAAGTGTAGCATTAGAGAATTTGACAGATTGTTGGGGAAACTAGTCAGTATCTGTCCTGGAATCAAGTACGGATGGTTGTACACAAAAAACTTCGAACGGGAAAAACACTTAGCATTACTCAAGTCGAGAGGGAATTTTGATGCAATCATGCGACTTTCCCCAACACTTATTCACGATTTTAACTGGTGGTTTAATAACGTGCCACGGGAAAAAAACTTCATTCAAGTTGATTCGTTTGTTTTTTCCGATGCATCAGACTCTGGCTGGGACATTAGCTGCTTTGGGAAAAAGTCGCACATCACATAAACTATCGAGAACTGTTGGCAGTTTTCTTTGGGCTAAAATGTTTTGCAGCTAACCTATCTAATTGTAACATCCTGTGTCGGGTGTATAACATCACAGCCTTGGCCTACATTAATAAAATGGGTAGTGTGCGATTTTCAAAACTTAATAGTCTGGCGCGCACCATTTGGCAATGGTGTGAAACAAGAAACTTATTCCTTTATGCGGCATACATAAAATCAGCCGATAATAAGGAAGCAGATTTGGAATCTCGTAGTTTGGAAACCGAGACGGAGGGGTCCCTGGACGTATCTGCATTCGAAAACATAGTTGCACAGTTTGGCAAGCCTGAAATTGACCTGTTTGCGAGTAGAATTAATGCAAAATGCAAAAACTTTGTTTCATGGTTGAGATACCCCGAGAGTATGGCAGTTGATGCTTTCACGTTGATTTGGGGAAAGCTCTATTTTCGATGGAGCAAGGGGGCATTCTTGTCGTCTCCCTATGGACATCTCAACCATGGTATCCTGTGTTTACATCCCTTTTAGAATGTAATCCAATAAAATTTCGGCCATCCAAGATGTTAATGTCTTTCAACAGGTCACCACACCCCCTTTGGAGAAAGACTACCCTGGTGGCAGGAATTGTATCAGGCAGGCATTGATGTTGGGAGACGTTCCCTCGGCATCGCTAAATATATGTCTTGCATCAGTTACATATAACACAATTAAGCAGTACAACGTGGGCTTGAGGATTTGGTGGGAATATTGCAATCGAGAAAAAATAAATATTTACACCCAGTCGGTTTCTGCAGTACTTAAATTTCTAACATTTCATTTCAAAAAGGGGTCTTCTTTTAGCTCTCTGAATTCATATAGAGCAGCACTTTCATAGATTCTAGGGCCAAATCTTAGTGAAGATTTAAGAATTAAAAGATTTTTCAAAGGACTGAGTTGCTTAAGGCCTCCGCACCCTGTGTATAACAACACGTGGGATCCAGGCATAGTTTTGAACTACATAAAAAATTCATATTCTACGAATCCTACTTTAGAACAGTTAACTCTCAAGACGGCCGTGCTCCTCGCCTTAGTAACAGGCCAACGCGTCCAAACATTAGCTAGTATGGAAGTGTGTAATATTCAAAATTTCTCAGATCGGTTAGAAATCCGCATAACTAAAAGGATAAAGACATCTGACGTTAACAAAATGCAGCCACATTAGTTTTGCCATTTTTTCCGGATAATGTGAATATTTGCCCAGCCAAAACGTTACTGTTATATCTGGAAAAAACAAAGGCTATTCGAGGTAATGTTTTAAAAGGCCGCATCGAATAGCCTCTGCTCAAACCATCAGCAGATGGTTAAAAACTATGTTATTAAATAGTGGTATAGACATAAGTTCTTTTTGTGGTCAGAGCACTAGACATTCAGCTACTTCTGCCGCCTCCAGGAAAGGGATAAGCTATGATAGCATCCGGTTGGCCGCGTGGTGGACGGAAAAATCTAAAACATTCGCAAGATTTTATCAAAAACCATTAGTTTCTAGTAGGTCTGACTTTGCGGAAGCAGTGTTCAGATGTGCCTAATGTTAAAGAAATTAAAAATAGTTGTTCTTGTTAACTATAGAGAAATAGTGGAAATCACTGTTAAGTTTGCAGTTACTAATATGTATATAATTACGCATATGTAACTTGATGATACTAAACAAATTGTTGCGACTTACTTTGAACTACTACACTTATCCTTATTTATGAAGGCGAGGCGCAATATAATTGGGAGATTAAACGAACTTACCTAAGTGAAGTTTAATCCTAATTATATGAGCATCGCCGGAATAAATAAGCTCCCGCCCTTTACTCTACCCTCCCCAATATATTGCAACAAAGCTTTGAACAAGTATGAGGGTTCGACGGAGTGGCGGAGGAGAGGACTGTATCCAGGGTGAGAAAATTTGCTTTGAACTGTGTGAGATTTGACTGCAAGCAGAGCTACTACACTTATCCTTATTTATTCCGGCGAGGCTCATATAATTAGGATTAAACTTCACTTAGGTAAGTTCGTTTAATCTCTCACTTATTTGTGCGTACATGCCTCTGACGCGAGTGAGAGGCATCATTTATATTATCATCTGGCGTTTTAAAAACTCTGCGAGATTTTTGTAATGCGGTATTTCGTCAGAAACACTCTGTAATTCAAATCGTGAGAGTAAATTTGAATCTAAGCATTTAAGAAGCATACTGGTCAAAATAAAGTCCCATTCAGCTATGGGAAAACCAAGATTTTTCAATGCGGCAATATTTTCAGTATATGTTTCTAGTAGTTTCTCAAGTTGAGCGGGATTTTCAGAATTCATGCGTGGCGTAGTCTCAATTTCGTTCCAGTGTGAAGTAGCTAAATGCCGTTTATTAGTATATTTGCTACTAAATAAATATATAATTGGACGAAGTTAAAGGATAACACTGTAACATACCTTTAGCAGACCCATCAACAGATGATATCAAATACGAGAATTAAGAAATAAAACATCAGAAAATGACATGAAGGATTTAATATCACCATTAAACCTCATCAGTTTTAGTTCAGGTAGTTTCACTCTGGGTGGAACATCGGATATTTCAGGCCGAGTGTCCAGACCTCAACTCTTTATTAACCTCAAACAAATCATAATAAATGGATTTAATGGAATAGTAATTGTTATCAACATCAATGCGTAATATATCCTCAACAAGAAACTCCTCATCTTGGTCAGGATCTAACAAACCAATTATTGTGTTATTCCGTTTATTGAAACTATCATATGACGACTCTATAGTTTTATATCTTTGTATGAACTGCGAATGGAAATTAAGGTCGGTTTGAGCCATTTTAGCAATGTCTAGGCACTCGGAAATCTTATTTATTTCCATATTGCGGAAAACCCCTTTTAAGTTTGTCAGCCATTATTGTGAAACACGGCAGAATGAACCTGAGTACTGTCCTGTGGTTACCTACAGACGCAAAAAGTGAATCTAATGAATTAATGAAATTACTGAATATGAATGAAAATTGACAATATGCTCCAGAAAAGGGTGATAAAAGGCGAATCCGTTGAGATTGTCGCCTACCTTCGATCCGGTATTCTGTCTAATTCTGGTTCGTATTCCTGGCGTAGCGGTGATGCAGGAGCGTGAAGATTGCGGTTGCTGTGTAGACACGTGGTCACACTGTACGCGGTTGCGGTTTATCTGCATGGTCTGACTGTGAGCTAGTATCTCTCTTCTTTTTATTGTCCTAGCAGCGCACGCGCGCGGGGTAGGCAAGCGACAACCCATACTCGCCATAAAATAAAGCCAACCCAAATATCCCTAACAGTGCGATTTGTTGGTGATTTTTGGTGGCTTTGTGACTTGTATTAGTTATACATACTTCATATACCCTATGTGGTCAATAAATTGATAAAAATGCGGTGTGCTGTTGTGGGATGTAATTCTGACAACCAATCTAAGCGGAATCCTTGCAAAGACATGAAGTTCCAC